TCATATAATATATGAATACATTTATTATATTATATTATATTGAACTGAGATTATGTAGTAAAAATAAGTTCATTTGGTATTATTCGATCATGATGTCGCTGTAAGTCATAGAGATATAAAATAAACTCAACAATTTAATAACTTGCTGTGGTAATTAATAATAAATTATAAAAAATGTTTAAGTCATGATAAGCATAATGCAATTTATAAAACATAATATTCATTTATTGTTCAATTTTAATGACTAAAAAATAAAATAATTTATTTTGCTAAAAATTAAAAATAATCATAAGTCACATAAAACGCAAATCTATAAATCTGAATAATCCGGATACTTCGATAAATTCGGATAAGGATTTGATTCAAATCCAAATTTGAATATCCGGATGATTGGAAAATTCAGATCTTCGGATTTCTGCCCATCCCTAATTATACCACGCGGTATCGGTTTCCACTACTTTAAACGAAAATATAAAAAATCAATATCAATAATTGTTATAAAAATTATTGTTAAATTTCCAATTGTTGGACAAAGTGTGTACAACTTAAAGTGTATAGCTACTGCTTATGAACTAAACCGTTATTTAAATTACGTTTGTTTAAGCTTTGTTACTAATACTGCGTAGTCGAGGAACGAAGTAGCAATTGTTTTTGTTGTACGATTTTCGTACCACTGATCTCCGTAGTATTGCATAAGCTAGTTGCACTACGAACGCGAAAAACACAAGGTCTGTGTCATTTGAAACAGAAAAATGCAGTGAAATACGAAAGTCGTAAAGATTGCGTACATCACAATACAAATATGTTTCGTGTTAGTATTCATTCGTTCGTACATTCATCGACCCTCGTTCACTTTTCATACGACTCAGATACTATCAAAAATCGATTTATTGCTGTCCCCCTACTTCTTATAATATTGTACGATAATATGTTCAATAATAAACAGAGTCGGGTTTATATTTTTATATGGACGTTGTCTATGATTTCGGCACACGAAAACTTAATGAAAACGAATCGCAATAATTGCACCGTCCGGAGATACATCTGCAGGGAAACGCTAATTACGGCTTATAACAAATACTATACACGTAGTGCACAGGTAAACGATGAACGGTTACGGGAGACGGATGGCAAAATAAGAGATTTCAACTCGTGGCTGTACAAAGTTTCTCCGACGAAAAAATATGAACAACGAAACGATAATGGTATCGTCAAAAGGTTGTATACCTATACGTATACGTGTACACTTGATGCTCTGGATAAGCTAGCCTGTGCTCGGCCGTATATTTATATAACTTATTTATTGAGCGTACCGCAGGCGCGTATTCCCTCGGATAAAACTAAAACCTTGCGGCAACGGTGTCGGGTGTGCCGTCGGCGCGAGACTGCTATAATAAACGAACAATAGGGTATTATGTTGTACCTACCAACCGTACCGACGCCACCACCGTGCATATCGTAGCCGTGGGTTTAGTCGGAATATTCAGAAACTTCGGTACGTCTGCAGAAATTGAATTACAAGCAGAAATTAAAGTCTCACGAAGAAATACATTTCCTAGATCATTAACTGCCGTATCCGTCGTACTCGCTGCAGCCAATAGCCATATAATACTATATGTATATTCACTTTATTGCACGGTCCTTGGAAATAAATTCCGCAATATAAGCTCCCAATAAAATCGAAACGAGAAACAATAGTTGTAAGGAAAGGGTTCTTAAATATATATATATATTTATATATTAATCTTCCTTGGATATTAGCAGTACCACGGGGACTGTTTTACCTGAAGTAATTCCGGAGGAGAATAAATATAATAATAATAATAATAATAATAATATTCATTATTCGTGATTTACAACTGAGTTTTTACCCTCGTCTAAACATTACTCGTATATTCTGACACTACTGGACCACGCCGTACTCTTTCATGCAATTTTCCATTGTATCTATTTCTACTTTACATTCATTATTGTTTCCTTCATATTCCGTTCTAATGTTTCAATGTTCACAGAGTCTAATTGTACACACTTTTTTTTTTTTGTGTGTTTTTCTTCAATCTCAAACACGGATTAATTTATTTGGCAGAACACTCGATATACGTGATATATGATTTCTCTATAATCATAATACATTCATTTTAGGCGTCTAATTTTGATGATTTATTGTTTACTACTGTTGTAAAGTTAAATGTCTACAAAAAAAAGTTATTATTGCGTACATTAATGATTTTGATTAATTTTTTTTTTTTTGTATGAATCGATTTATTATAATTATAATGTTTGGAAGAAAACCCAATGATTTACGACTTAATCCGCAACATTTAAAGTTTTCAAAAGACTTTTATATCAGGTCAATTGATAAATTATTTAATTTTTTTTTTAGAAATTTAATTTTAAACGTTTATCTAACATAAAATGTAAAGCTTACAGTAGATAAATATATTATGATATAGATAAAAGAGTAATATAACAATATTGAATACAATTTCGTATTTTTTCTACCAAGATGAAAATCCATACATTTTTAAGACATTTTACGTTGTATAGATAAATTTGTTATATTAATAAAAAAAAAAAAAAAAAATCAATATAATGAAATTATGGATATCAATCACTTTGAAATTAAAATGAAAAGACGAAAGAAGAATATCAAACGACAGTATAAAATATTTTTAAATGATTACTTGATAATTTACTTAAAAATACACCCTACTTCCGTTTATTATGCTTATAGCGCGTATAACGCTGCAAATTTAATTATTGAAATTCGATATCAAGCGATGTTTGGTAATGATATCAAAATTGGATTGTCGGCGTCAATTCTTTCTCAGAAGCTATAAACAATATATTGTCAGGTGAAGACTTAGAAAACGTATTGCAAAATATTGGGAGAAAAAATGAAGAAAGTAATTCTACCGATCCTTATCAGGTAAATATAAGAAATAATACACAATGTATAAATTATAGAATGATTTACAATATTTTATGTTAGATACTAATTTTTTTTTTTTCGTAGGATGAAGAAATGCATAAACTGTGTGAGACTTATAGAAGTAATATCAAGTAATAGTAATCGAAGGTGCCAATCAACAGCGTATTTGTAATTTGTGCGCAAAAGGGGTAATTTATTTTCAAAATTCATTTTTACTATAATTAATATTATTTAAATTAATTTATTTTGTAATGTTAAGTACTGGTTTGTTATAGTATCCCCGCCTTTTATGGTTACATGAATGGTGGTGGGATAACCAACTAGTACCTAACACTATTATTTATTATACTCAAAAATACTTTATTTTTATGTACACCCAAAGCAAATTAAATATTAAATTAAAAATCATACTATTAACATAGGTATAGTATATGTATCATTTATAAATATGTACAAATATATCAAAATAACACGGATCTATACGTTAAACAATTGATTAAATATGAAATTATAAGAAGTACTTGTCTAAATTAGCAAAATTAATTAAGATTATTTTAAACCAATTAAATCATAATTAATAATTTATTTTTTTATTAATAGAAAAATAACTATTTTACAGATGTAAATTCTGAATGATTAAACAGTTAAAAATTATGTTTTTATCTAGTCTTATCTGTTTTTTATCTAGATAAATGTAGTTATCTTTCATCTATTATCCAGATGAATTTTTAAATATTTATATTTTACCATATATAGATGAAATTATAATGTATTATCCGTTATCTTATCTAGATAATATTTTGGTTATCTAAGTACAACACTGCCGGCAGAATTTTGATGTTTGATAAGTGTTGATCTACAGAACTTCATTACCTTACATTTATTTGTCACCATGTTTTAGGGTGTTCACTTACCAGCATCAATTGTGATTTAATGTGCTTTTCGTCTTACGTTATAAATTTGTATTTTCGTTCGTGACTATGATTCAGTGCTTGCATGCTTTTATTGTATTAAATTCATTGTATTACTCACATCCCTGATGCTTAGGATGAAATCTACTATCTATATCATAGTCACATGTGAGTATTGGTCGTTTTTAAGTGTCCAATTTATGTTCCGACTGATTGATGTAATGATATTAATCATTTAAAAGTTAAGGCAGTGATAAGTGAGAAAACTAATTACAAAAGTAATATTATAATTAATATAATTGGTTCGATCTATAAATAATAATAATAATATTACAATAAAAATAAATAAGTGGGCATGACAAAAAAAAAAAATTAAAAAAAAATCACAAAAAACCTAACTGAGAATCGAACCGAATCTTCTCTCGAATTTCTGAAGCAATACTTGCGGGGAACAGAAAAAAGATGACGTGCCTCCTTATCTAACGGTTTGAGGCTTTGTATTCTTCTACTGGTGGCTCCTCCAGTTAATGTATTCCATAGATGAGGAGTCGGAAACCTTCGGCTCTTTGGATAAATATCAATACATCGAGATCCGTAAAAAATAAATTATATTATATCTGCGTTACTATAGTGATAATAATTCTGAATTTTTCAATAATAATTTTCAGATAAAAATATATCAATATTTTATCTTTAATATGGGTTGGGAATGTTTTCGTTGTTACTTATTAATCTTATTGCACAATTATTTTTATTGTGTATGTAATAAATATGCGTGTGTTCTATCTATTAAACTCGACTATCATCATTCGGTAGAATACAAAATTATATTAGTCGATATGTGAGCATGGTCCTCGTCAGGTCAATTCAATCAGTGTAACGTTGTTCGTTATTTTTTCTTGTGCTTTTTTTGATTAGAGGTATTCCTATAAACTTCGAGATGACTACAAATAAAAAAACGTAAAATTGAAGAGGAAAATAGAGGATTTAGAAGTGAGTGGACTGATACTTATGCATTTGCCCAAAACACGCTAGGACAACCAAAATGTCTCATTTGTGACGAAAACTTAAAAAAGTCGAATATTGAACGTCATTTTTTATCTAAACATGATTTTTTTAGTAAGACGTACTCAGCTGGAAATGAAAGAAAAACAGCAATGGCCGAGTTGATTCGTAAATCTCAACAATCGACATCTAAATTTAATAACTGGTTGCAGTCAGCGTCTAATTTGACTGCAGTTAGTTTTGTTGTATCTTACGAAATCATGAAATTTGGAAAACCATTCACTGATGAAGAATATATCAAAAAATGTTTTATTGGTATGTCAGAACATCTCTTTTCTGAATTTAAAAATAAAATAGAAATAATTAATAAAATAAAGGATATTCCGTTGTCGGCAACTACTGTCCGTGATATAGCTGTTAGAATGGCTGAAAATGTCACAGAACAACAATTTTTCGATCTGAAGTCATCACCTGTATTTTCCTTAGCTTGTGATGAATTATGACATCATGTGATGTTAAAAACATCGTGCAACTCACTTTAATTGGACGGTATATTTCGTTTACGGGTGTTCATGAAGAATTACTGGATTTTCTACCACTCAAAGGATAAAATCAAGGAGAGAAATTTGCGCTGTAATTACAGAATTTTGTAAAGAGAAATATATCAATTTAGATGAGCTGATATTTCTTTGCACTGATGAATGACCAAATATGATTGGTAAATATAAAGGATTTGTTACTCTTTTTGGCTAAAATGTGAAACATGAATTACTATTTTTTCATAGAATTGTTCATCATAAAGCTTTATGTGCTCAAACATTTCCAGTTAAAATTAACCAAGTTATATCACTAGTAGTGAAAATAATTAAGAAAATCATAGCTTCAGCTCTGAACCATAGACAGTTTCGTGCAATACTTGATGAAGTTAATGCCCAATACAAGGGTCTTTCAGTGTTCAATAATGTACGTTGGTTGTTGAGAGGGGTTGTTTTGAAGTGCTTTACAGATTGTTTCGAACCCATAAAAGATTTTTTTTAACAAATAAAGGCATCAATTACCCCGATTTAAACGATAATATGTGGCTACAAAAAATGTATTTTGCTATGGATTTGACTTCATCTCTAAATCACTTAAATCAAAAGCTTCAAGGTAATGCAAAAACAGCACATACGCTACTGGAAACTGTTCTTTCTTCTGAACAATAACTTCAGTTTTTTTTCAGAAGATGTTGACAGCGGAAATCTTGATCATTTTGAATCTTTGAAAGAGTACACGGAAAGCTCAGGTTGTGTTATTGATTTGGAGTATTTTAAATCAGCCATTCAATCCATAAAAAATTCGTTTAGTAAAAGATTTGAAGATTTTCGAAAATATGAATTCACGTTTAAGTTCTTGACATCACCACTCACAGCGGTTACTGGACAAATTCATTTTTCATCGTTTCCATCTGTCAACAAAAGACTATTTTCATTGCAAATAATAGAATTAAAAACCAAAGATTTGAGAATTTGAAAACGGATAGAAAAAATTTGGAAAAGGGAAAAGGAGTTTTAGCTGGGAACTATAAATGGACGGAACACGCTAGATGTCAAAAATAAGAGCAAGTTATATTTGACGTATGGAACAGTCTTCCCGAAAGTTTCAGCCGATTCAAAACAGTCGCTTTTGGAATTTTGACTGTTTTTCGATCTACTTACATTTGTGAGCAAACATTTTCAATTATGAACTTTATTAAGAATAAATTAAGAAATCAACTGAATGATATCAGCCTTGATGCTTGTTTGAAGTTGAAAACTACAGATTACTCTCCAGAATTTAATAAGCTGTCCGGAGAATTTCAGCGTCAAAAATCCCACTAATATTAAGTAGATACGTTTTTTGTGTATTATTGTGTTTAATTAAATAATATTGTATTTGTATAAACAATAATAATAATAATAATAATGAATTAATGAAATAAAGTTTTTCTATATTATCTAAATTTAAGACGTATTATTATGTTTTTATTGCCTACCAATTTCTCAATAAAATAATAATACTATCTTTATTCTAATAATATTTACTAATAAATAATAATTTATACACTAAAGTTAAAAAAAAAAAAGTTGTTCAAACCTGTGCGACTCCCTGGACATCAAAGTTTTGTAATTTTTTTGAAAAAATAGCTTTTTCCTACGAAAAGGCTCTCGACCCTAGCATAGATTCTTAATCCATTCTATGGTATGCATTAACTGGAGGCGTCATCAGCTTTTCACCAGCTTTTTAATTCGACACATAATTTATGTTATACGGCGCCCGAACGAGACAGCTCGGACGCATAGGTGTTTAACAATTTTTACTAATATTTGAAGTAAAGTGTTTATAAACACTATCTATAGACTTAACCAAATAAAAATATTCTATCTATTATTTTATTTAAATAAAAATCCTAAGGCTATCTCAGAAATATTTAGTTATTTACCATAATTAATCTGGATATTTTTTTTTTTTACGATATTTAATCAAATCGTTGAACGTCGTAATTACTTAAGAATGAATACAACAAAAAGGTATAAAATTGACCTCGCACACGAACTCGTATGTCAATACTTGTTCACGGTGAAATGCACAAGTCTATAGCGCTGGACAACGACAATGAATTAAGCCACGCTATTCAAAATAGTCACTGAAACAATGAAAACTATAACAAAATGGCAATATAACTGCGCAAAACGACACTTACCAAAAGACCAATACAAAATTGATTGAAAACGTGATTTTACAAAAAAGACTGTAGACGGCCGATGAATTCACAAAGTTTGCATATACATCATAGCCGTAAATAGGGGGGGGGGTCAATTGCACCCCTGAGTTCAAATGTAGTACTCCTGTTTTTTTTTTTCAGATCTATATCATTTATAGTATGTACAATTAAATACCATTTTATTTATTTTCAGAAATTTCAGAAACTCCAATATTTGGGCTCTAATTGTGCCCATGATGTACACACGAATACGGACCAAATGAGAGAGAACGAGTCAGTGCCGATAACAATTATGGTCACCGAACATCACACAATGAAGGTAATTGCCTCAGTTTTACTACCTTAAAACTAGTATCCACGAACTTATGAAAATTTATGACACTGAGACAATGACTTTGACTTAGACTGAAACACAATCGAACTTATGAAAACATTGAATAATGAACTTTAATTTTTGAACGTTTTATTTTTTTTATATATTTTTTTGCGTACGACGAAAACAATGGTATACGCTATTAGACGGTCACCCACAGAGACAAATCGTTTCCGATAACCGATACTGCAACAGAGAAACACGTCTGAAGCTTCTAAATACAGTATTTAATCGTGATGATTCTGGGAATGCGGCAGTTGTTATTATTAATATTTCGGTGCGTGTGCAGCATGTGATAGCACTATAATCCAATACACGCTTTTTCTAACTCATTGAAAAACTAAAATGATATAAAAAATAATTGAAAAATTGATTAACATTTAGTTACTATACAAAAAACTATTCACAGCATACTATTCACAATCAACAAGATAAAAAAGGGCGTGAACAAGACCGGAACTTCAGATCATCTTAGCACTTTTTCAAAACTAAAAATCGTGTCGATAATTATACTTCATATTATTTTTGATTACCCTCATATTTTCATGGCAATTATTCGGATTATAAAATTTTGTACTTTTATGAAATATAACAATGTATGTACATGGTAAATTTAAGAAACGAAAAAGGGAAATGCGACCTCTTCCGTCCCGTGTAAAGACGAAAGAACATCCAGCACAGTCAACTGCGCCGTAATGATATTACTGTCATATCGTATACATGATCAACGCGTGTCACAATGCAACTTACTCGTTCAAACTCGGAATTAGAAAAACTTTTGATCGGGGACGTTACTATGAGGGAGGAGGTATTAATCCCTCAACCCGCCCCTCGAAATTTTAACGAAATTAGAAAAAAATGAATTGTTTATTATTTCTATACGATTTCAGGTTAATAATTTTAATATCATAACCGTTTAATAGGATTATTTATATAATCTATTGTCGACCAATCTAGTAATAAAATTATAACCAAAATTATTATCTTGTGAAATAAATACATTTTAAATATATGGTAGAAAAATATTCACCACCTGCTTTCGAAAAAAATGTCTTGGTATGTCACTGCTTGAGATGGTAACGTGTTCGATTCGGTTTGGGAATGATATAATGAGAAATATTATGTACTATAATTAATATTCAAATTATTATTATTATTATATGCGGTGAACTACGGGGTTGGTGATTCAATCGTAATATGAGTGTACGTGTAACGACGTCACAGGAGAAAAGGTTGTGTGATTTGGGTATAAACTGTTTGGCGCTCAAAAGTTTGACCAGGTCTTATCTGCACTGTAGGAGGTATCCGATAAGCCCTACCAGAATACACTGCCACAGCGTTGTCACGGATGGCAAAACTTTCACGTATCTATGATTAATGCGAATTTTGTATGAGGTTGTATCGCATGCACGTGGGGAGGGGTAAATAACGAGAACAAACAACAAAATAGCAGCAGACGAATCCACGACACACTCACATACATACCACACACGGAAATACGAGTAGACTTGTGATACGCGCACACTTTTTTTTTTTTTACTAGCTTTTTATCGCCACAGTCATCGCTTGATCCGAAAACCTGAACGGAGCATATCGCTGCCATTACGTCGGTAAAAACTATACTTGAATACATTATTATGAATTTTAAATTAAGGTCCCTCCTGAAAAACGGAAAAATATTGATTGTTAACTTTAATATTAGTGAAAAATGTGTTCGTATAATTTTATTGTTGTTAACAGAATCTACTTTGTCATTTAAATTTCAATATTTAAAAACATCATGTCTTGAAATTATTGTTCGTAAGTGGTGCTTATTTAAATGCTATAAACTTCATGAAATCCAACGCTGACGATTCATGGCTCCTATTAACATCGCTGAAATCCAAATTTTGCAGGAACTGAAGCCATCTGATTGCGGTTACAATTTAGTGGACAAACGATGGAAAATATAATTGCCCACCTCAATTTTGCCGATAACTTGTTTATATTAGACGAGGCATGTATCCATTTCTGAGAGCTAAATATGCGAATATGTCACTCTCTCTTGCGGACATGCATTTCTGCATTTTAGGATACGATGTTTTTAACTTTAATAACGTTTAAATTTGATTCTGCTTTCAATAATAAAACAGTATAGATATATTTTTATGATTTCTGTGATGATATACATGCAATAATATAATATTATATATATAAAATAATATTATACTCGTATGTTAGTAATTTAGAGCACCAGTTTTTCGCATGCATCCAAAGGTAAAATTATACTTGTAATTGTAAATATGCATTTACATAGACGTTGATTGAAATGCAACTTTTCAGGTCTTGTCTTTTGATTTTATTGTACTTAATATTTTGGAATAGATGTACACTATACCAGCGATCGT